CCCCCAAGGCTGGCTCCTGCTGCCGCGGCAGCTGCGGCTGCAGCGGTAGCTCCAAGCCCGGCCGCGCCAGCCTCAGACATGCCGCAGCAGCGCGGATGGCGGGAGGCTCGGGTCTGTTGTGACCGACGCCAGCTTTGCTCCGTGCCCGGCTCAGCACGCCCGTCGAGCGCTCTGGACCCTCCCCTTTCTCCGCTTTGCAGCCGCCGGCTGCTCCCAAGGAGGGAGGGGACAGGCCGCACCGCGGGCGGGTCCTGCTGGGGAAAAGAAGAGAAGGCGGAGGCGCCCGTTAAGGAAACAGCAGGGGGAGAAAGACGGACATGTTGTTGGGAGCTTGGCGTGGTTGTCGCTCTTGGCGGAAAGGTCCTGCTGCCGACACGGCCTGGGCCTCCCTCGCCTAGGAGCTAAAACAGTGGCAGAGCGGCGCCTCTGTCCTCGCTCAGCAGCACATTCGCGGCCATGTAATCGTCGAGAGCCCATTTTGCGCCCCAGGCCGGGCGTCGTACTTCTCTGTGCCCTGCTCGCCGCATCCGTGCCCAGAGGTTGTCTTGCGGAGGACTGCGGTATGAAGACGGGGTGGGGAGTCGGGTTTGCGAAAGCCCCTCCATTACAGATTTGTCAGGAAATAACTCTTCTGGTATTGTGAAGACGAGTACTGTAGATGTGCCGTAAGACACCAGCTTATGCTGCAATAAATTTCCAGCATTCTACCAGCTCTCAGAGCTCGTGCGTGCACGGGTGTTCGCTGTGTAAACAAACTACCACTCGGAAACGAAAGTGAGAAGTTCCCTCGACGCGCGCCACTTCCTCAAAAAGTAGAAGGCCTGAGGGGCGATTCTCGCCCGCAGCAGATTTAATGGAGCCTCCGGAGCGCTTGGCTGAGGCCTTCGGGTGATGGACAGCTGTCTCGCGCACGTTTCCACCCTCGGGCGCGCGCCCAAGTATTGTAGTGGCCACAGCCGAGCGTACGCTGCCGCCTACACGAGTTATCTCGCCGCCCTTCCCTTGCTTCTGAAGAGCAATGTTTGTAGGATAAAAGGAAATCCATGTGCTTCCTTCATTAATTTTCGAAAAAGTTGTGTTAGAAAGCGAGCTCGCAGACCCGTGGAAGGTAAATGTTGAAGAGGCACCCTGGGGGAGCTTCAACAGCATTACTACCTTGGCTTGGATTAAAGAAGTTAAAATTGTAAGGAGGGAAAACTGGTAGCTGGTAATGGAAAGCCTCGTTGCTTTCCATTCTTCCAGACGAACTTTCTTAAAATCAGGAGGGAGGGAGAGGGAGAGAAGGAGGTGTGTTGGAAAAAGCACCAGCTCCCCAGCTAACAAAAAGGTTGCCATTCCCTGCATTGAATTGCTGGAGGAGATGGCATTGAGATTAGAACTAAACTAGCTCCTGTTTGTTGATGGTCCATTTCACTGACTTTTTGCTTCATTGTTTTATATTGCCCTATGCCATACCAGTGGTATGTGTACTTTCCAGATGATAATCCATGCAGCAATAAACTTTGGTCTGTGATGGCTTATGTCAAAACAGGCTTCAAGGTGCCCCAAGACTGTAATTGTAGGCCCTGAAGAGACAGGCTTTACATTGGCTGAAAATAGGTCTAGAGTAGGATGGCCTTGTAATTCATTTTAGAATAGCTGTATATGTTTTTTAAGTTATATGTTTAGTTTTGTATTTGCAGGTTTATGTTTCTGTATATGTTTCTAATGCTTATTTTATGTGTAGAATTTTAATAAAGTTTATATAAAAAAAATATGGTTGTAACAGAAAAATGTGTCTTGTATTGTTTATTTAAAAATTTCTATAGCATATTTTAACACTTCCAAGGCAATTTACAAAAAGTAAATATTTTTGTATATGTAAATTAAATGTAGTCAACTATAATACTTAAAAATAATGCTATCAAAAAGCCTCCATATGAGACCAAAAGATTGCAGTATTTGTCAAAATTGAAAAAATAATCCTAAGAGATGGTACAACTGGAAAGCTCTTTTTTTGGGTTGCCACCCACTTTGTCTCCAATAACAAAAGACAGGTTGGTACCAGAGCAAACATTCCTAAAAGTGAACTCCAGCCCTTTGAATTGCATTTTAGGTACTGGGCTAGAAAGCTGAAGATTGTAAAGTCTAGTCCTGCATAGGCATTAAAGCCAACTCTATCACTTTGGGCCAGTCACTTACTCTCAGCCCTTGGAAGAAGACAAGGGCAAACCACTGTAAAAATCTTGCCAACAAACCTGTAGGGACTAGTCCAGGCAGTCCCTAGGAGTTGAGGATGACTCAAAGGCAACCATTTTAACTATTAGTGTAATAGATTCAAAAAGCAGCAGTCACAACCTTATCCAGGTCATTCCCAAGGTCTGTCTTTAACTGGAATTTGTATGTAAGCTGAAGAGCATTATTGTATAATACTGCGTAAGTAGTATTGTGTAACGAACTCAAATCATGTATTTAAGTTGAATTTTGCTACAATAGACTCTGTTCTTAACTATGGGTCATCTGTAACCCAGGTGTTCTTAACCCATGGACTACCTGTACACTGTGTTGTGTCTATAGTAAATAATTTACTCAATGGGAGGGGAGGAGAAAATGACATTTTTATAGCTAAAGCTATAAAAGAGAAGATTTTTGCTGTGATCTAATATGAAACACATAGTGTGTTGAATACAAACCTTAATCATACTTATTTTTGCATCTTTATGCCATCTTTTTTGAGAGAGAGAGAAAGAGACAACTCTAAGCCACTAACATGGTGCTTAATTTTTCCTCACCACAACCCTAATTTGTGTGCGTGCCATGCATCTTCAAGTCAGTATTGTCTCCTGGTGACTCGACTAGAAAGCGATTGGCTCAAATTGCTTACTAAACTCAGTGATTGAGTAGGGACCTGAACCTCAGTCTCCCCAGTGTAAATCCAACACTTTAATCAACACATTTGGCAGTTGTAAGCCCTTTGACATTCCACTGATGTTAATTGATCTCAAAGAATGGTTTAAGCTGGATGTAATATATCTTATTAACACAAATACTTTTAGTAATGACCAGATTGCTGCAATATGTTTATGCTGAAAATCAAGACAAACCAAACTTGTGGATGGATTTTATTTCTAAGCTTTCATTTGTTGTGCATTTAGCAGCAGAATCTGTTCATGAAGCAATATAGCATAAGATACTAGCTAATCATATCTCAAGTTCAAATAATCAAGGATATTTCTTGATTTGGATTTATATTCTCTAAGAAACACAGAAATGCAGAAGCCCAAAACAAAACAGGAAGCACCAATTTTAGCCTTGCTACATAACAGACAAATCAGAACAATATCTCAGTGGCTAAGGATACGGTTACTATAGTAATAATTGTAAACACTGGACTTAACTACTAGTCCAGTATTAATGTACAACAGTATCAGAGAAAGGAATTCCAAAGAACATACGACTTTCTAGAAGCTTAAGGTACTGATTTACAGATTTTCACTGAGTGAAAAGCATAAATTCAAGAAAGCTGTACAGTAATTGGATGGTCAGAGGGATATAGGCCGAACACCTTAGCAGAAAAAAAGCAAATAGGGAAGATTTACAGAATCAATCTCATTGGATAGGCTTTTGTATGCCAAAAGGTGAACATACATTCCTATGACAGTGGATAAGACAAACCAGAAATAAAGAGTAGATTTCAGCAGATTTATTTTTTAAAACAGTATTTTGAGGTAACACTGAACTATATCACTTTTTATTCTTGTGTAAATCAAGATTGAAATCAGGATCTTTTAAAAGGATTCAACTGAGCTTCTAAATGTGTATTATATGGGCATTATCACATACAGAGACCTTACATACAAGGTGAAAACTCTGGCTCAAACTGGATTGAAATACATTTTATTTGATGTAGCAACCTGGGTTTGACTCTCAAGTTGCCTTGAAAGTTCATTGGGTGATTTTCGACACTCACACTGGGCCCCTTTGCATGATTTGTAAGCTTGATTCCCCTTTGCCCCCCCCCCATCTGAGCCATAAGTCCGCATAATTTTCTATCTTCAAAAATTCCTATTTCATAACTATTTTTCCCTGTACTTCTGTAGCAAAAACACAGATTAAGAATATAATAGTTTTAGCCAATTTTCCACCAAGAAGATCTAGCACCAATGCATTTTTCATCTAGTTTATAAAACTGCCCCGGCTTAATTATTGTTTTTTTAATGTTTTTTTCATGCTTCTTAAATAGTATCAGTGCTGTTCTATTTAAAAACAACCAACTTATATTAATATTTTGTCTGTTGCCTATTGGGTTTTCATGTTTGTTCCTCATTTTCTCCAGGACAAGAGTGTTTAATCAGCTAAGTCAATTGCTTTAAAAATCCTTTCAATTAACTAAGATGGCTTCTAATAAATTAAAATATAATTCAAATACTTTAAAGACGGCAAAGGGCAAGCACATTTTAAGAGGATATCCTTCTTTCATACATAGAATTAAAGTAATGAGTCCTTTATAATGAAGTACATCTTTTGGTCCAGAATAAGTCTTTGCACATCTGCTTTTTAAGGTGTAATTTTCTGTGTTCTATTAGGCACCACATTCCACAACTCTTCATACAGTATGATATGCTTTATCTCCATGTCAAGCCAAGTTTCAATTAAAGGGATTATCCCCAAGGTGTCTTTTAGCCACAATGAATTTTGTTTGGTCTTGCCTTAGTGCAATGTATAAACCTAGCCTTTGTTTATTTTTAAAAAAAATCATAACCTGTTTTTTGATAGTTTGTTGAAATTGAAATTAGTAATTGTGGCTTGCTCAGCAAACCATGGGCCTAGCATGATGTCTAAATGTAATTAAACTTTATTGTATTATTACCTGAGAGATGCCCTAAAGGCTCTTTCCCCTGATCATATTGAAAAAGGAAAGTTAATTATACTCAATATTCTGATTCTTAATATTCTAACCTTCTCCCTGTATGCAAAGCAAAAACAATTTACGATACAATGGTATTCCCAGTTAGTCAAGAGTAATCCCTTCTGAATGGTTTACTTTTAAACAGACAGATATAGGATTACAGTATTGATCATTTCTTAACACTGTATTTTAAGGTCTAAAGTAAACAGTTCTGCTCTGTTTGCAAATAGTATCTGTCTTTTATTAAAGAGTTCTGCTTTGATATTAATCTGCTCAACTGGTACAAAATTATTTCTCCTAACTACTACTCTTTATTTTAATTTTGTAAGAGAAGCTGTTAAGATTGTTCAGGAGAGTGATTGTGTTAGTATAAAAGCAACCAAACCACAAATTCTATTGCACTATAAAAATAGTGGTGCCCCACCTTTTTAATGGACTTTTTATTTTCTTTTGATGTTTTGCCTGTTTATTTTATTTTTAATCTTGTGTGCTAGACTCAGTAGTACTTGCACACTAAATAACACTTGAGTACATCCTTGATTCAGTGCATTGTATAATATAACATACTGATGCTGTTCTAACTACATTA